AGGCCAAAAAGGAAAGCTGTTTGTTTGGAGCAACTACGTCATATCCACATTTTACGTGGAAACGAGGCCCATTAGATACTGCAAGATTAAACGTCGAGAAAATTAGAAGACCATTCATAAGTCTATATCTGAACTTCAATATCATTAGCTGCCTGAGATTAGAGATAATTTTATTAGGCTCGATGCTCAAACTTTTGCATATCCTCAATGCATATTACAATTTACATTAAATGTCAATACAAGCCTAGCCCCAAATTTGTTGGCTTTGGTCTTAAAATAAGGGCCCCTATTCCCTCTAGCTATACCTAACCTTTTATGTACGTCACTATGATCATTACTCAAATGAATCCTGGTCAAAATACATTCCTGTCCTATTATATTCCCGGCGGCGGAGTTCAAACCGATGCGTTTTCCTAATCCCTCTTTTGTCTCTTTTCACCGTCCAACTAACTAACGTAACCACGAAAGAATTGATTAAGGCTATGTTTGTGTTTGAACAACTGTGGCCCTCCATAATCATGCACTAACCTTTGTGTGCTGTAAATGCTCGGTTTTCGTACTGTACCGGAAACAAACAATGGACAAATAATACTTATCTACCTACCAAATTGGACAGGGCTTTGTGTTCTGCCCACTCTCTCCCCGAATTGGATATCATCCCTGAGATGAACCTACCTCCATCCCTAGGCATCCGCCATTTTTATTTATAGAAAAAACGAGCCATACAATTTAATAAATACATTGTTGGCCGGACTAGGAATCACCACTGGATTTTAGACAAAGAGCCTAGAGTCTCACTAACCCAATATAACCAAAAAAAAAAAAAAAAATTAATCCAACTCACAAAAACCTATATTCAGATGACTCACAACAGGGCGACCACCTTAATCCAGTACATAGAATAATTCAGACCCCAAGTGAGCATCTATAAAGCAGATGATTCATCCAAAATAGAAGAGGTCTAGATTGAGACTAACGGGCGAACAGGAGAGGGGTACTGTTTGGCTTTACAGGAAAAGTGCTGTTCTTTTTACGCCAACAAATCGGAATCGTCAGAGTAATAATACAAGAAATAACGTTAAATAAAGAAACAAGGAAAAAAGCAGCAGAAAGAAAGAAGCCATAGAGCACAGACAAACACTAATTAAAATCTTGTGGACCTGGACTCGAGGGACTTCTCCCCTATCTCCTGCCAATTCCTTGGTCCCTTTACTTACTCTTCTACACTCTTTCCTCACTCTCGGGCCTATAATCCTTAATAAGCTTAGGCGGTTTGTTAGACAAACAAAATCGAAGGCCTTCCAGGCAGCCTATACACAAGGTCCCATTAATCATCGCCGTTGAGTCATGACGGAAAATGGTGAGTCTTATTTACCTTAATAAGAAACCCACCTACCCCCTGTGTGCTGAACTGGACCAGTCAATGACAGGTAAGAGGAACCTATCCAGCCCAATCCCGCGGAGCCTAAGACAGGAGGGCCGGCCCTTCCGCCCTCGCTGCCTTACTCCACATGACGCGGCCGCCTAGAAGGTGGGGATGAGACTGAACCAACAACCTAAGACAGGCGCAGTTCCCGAAGGGGATCATTTCTTTACCATAAAATAATAAAAAGGACCTGGTCCGGAGCTGCGCCGCCCGGCCCATAGCAAATAATGAATTAATGATTAACCCCGAGCTCTATTCCCTTTCCACCTTCTACCTCCTCCCTAGATTTGTTTGTTTCCTCTTTTGTTATCAATACCTCATTAAAAAGATGGCGCGCTCCTTCCTGCTTTTTCTTCACCTGTTTTTCCCCCCTGCCCCGCGAAAATTGTTACTTTGTAGCGCAGGCACCATCCCTGCGCCCGGGAAAAGTTCCAACTGACAGCGAAGGGCGCAACATGAACGTCCGGACCAGAGAAACCAATACCTACCTAGCGACACCCTCGCGATGAGATCATCTCCGCCTCTGGCCCAACCCCTTCCCCTCCAAGTGTATATAAGGCATTGCATTACCACCATTAAACGAGACTTGATCAGAGCACTGTCTTGTCTCCATTTCTCGTGTCTCTTGTCCCCCAAATTCCCACTCCCTCCTCCAGGGCCTGCTTCGACGATCCCGCGGGCCGGGATATGGTGGGACCTCCAAGATCGTGTGATCAGCTTTCACATCCAGTTTATTTTCAGCCTGGCCCACTGCTTTGCAAACGTCAGTGGAGCAGGCTTTGAGAGGTCAAACACAAGTGGGCATCAGTCCCGTGTAGAGTACCCGGTGCTGTGGGTTACTTTATCTGCTTTGCCAACTCCAGTAGCCTCTAGAAACACACATTCCACAGATTGCATCTATATTGCTGAGGACTTCCATGGTGTTTAATGAGCTGGATCATCAACCATACACTTCTGTTTCCTTGAATTGTCATTCTGTAGTCCTTATGGGGCACCATTCCCCCAGCCCGGGTGCTGTCCCCTTTGACAACACTACAGGCACCCCCATTGGGTCCTCCCCCCGTGGTTGCATTTCTAAGGTTTCTTCCCTCCTGACACTTTGTCTGCATCACTGGCATCCCTCTCTTCCTAGTCGCTAAATGGGAAGCTTAATCATTTTTAAACTGACTATCCTCCTCTAATTGGTTCTAAGTCTTACCAATTCTACCTCTACGAACTCTCTTGCCCCTGATCTCTCCTTCCCATTCCCATCACCCTGATCAAATTCCCATCCCTTTTGCCTGAACAAGGGCAACTGCCTCCTAAAAGAAATTTAACTTCTTCCACAAAGTCTTCCCCAGCCCCGTTACTGCCCAGCTCACTCTGGTGGCACAGCCCTTGGTGCTCTCCACTGACTGCAGGACGAAACCTGGCTCCTCACCCACATGTTCAAGACCTCCGTCTCATCATCTCCAATCTAGTCCTTGAGCCCTGTTTCCGTGACGGTGCCATCTCACCTGCTGGCAGCACCCCCTGTGCCCCACACTGCTCTGCCTCTGTGCTTGGCCTATGCTGTTCCCTGGGCCGTGGAAACTTTCCCCATCTCCCCTCAAATGCAGTCACTTAAGCCCCAGTTTGAAATTTAACTCCTTCCATAAAGTCTTCCCTGAGCTTGCCTCTCTGGAGGCCACCTCACCCTGCTTGGTGCTGTCACACAGCATCCTCTCCTTTTTCCCATCCTGCAGGCCACCTCACCCTGCTTGGTGCTGTCACACAGCATCCTCTCCTTTTTCCCATCCTGCAGGCCACCTCACCCCGCTTGGTGCTGTCACACAGCATCCTCTCCTTTTTCCCATCCTGCTTATCACGTTCTCCTTTACATGCTTCACGTGGATGCCATGGCCACTCGGCGAGGTCACAGGTCCCCAAGGTGCCTGCCTCATCTCTGTGCCCACCAGGTGATGGGCAGGACCCTGCCACCGCACTCACCCAGCACACGCTCGCCCAGCCCGCCCAGCTCCATGTAGGCCGTGTGGAAGGCCTTGGCGGTGCTCTCATCCAGTGGGTGCTCCTCGCCATTGATCATGATGGTGCTGCATTTCTCTAGGATGCGCTCAGGGGCCCCCTTCATCACCATGAGGAAGCGCTTGTCGTGGGGGTCATCCGTCTGGTGGATGGAGAGCTGGGAAGGAATGAACAGAGCGTGTTACTTACAGACAGGTGAAACGCATTCCTTCTTCTCTACTGGTCCATTAAATGTAAAGGAGGAGGAGGAACAATGGCATCCTCTGCATGTTCCACCCTTTTTCTTTCTGTGGCCAAGTAAGACTTAGAGCTCTAGACTTGGCCCCAGCCCAGAGTGGGGCACCCTGGGTTGGAATCTGCAGTAAGTGAAGCTCATCTTTCAAGCAAAACTGGCTGCTTTAGGCAGGCTAGATGTGGCCGTCAGCATGTGAAATCTTGTGCCTTGAACAAGATCTCCCAGGGTGCCCGTGAGAGTTAGGGGGCTGCGAGTCTCTGCATCTCACCTCCTCTACCTCTCTGTGGGGAGCAGCCATGTTTCAGACCCAAACTACTCTGAGCTCAGGAGGGCAGGAGGCGGCAGGATTCCTGCCCCTCTTCACCTCATTGTCCGCCCAGTTTTCCTGCTTGGATGTCATAGAAAATGGCGGTGTGAGGAAGTGGCCACTTCCACGTATAGTGTTTGAGGAAGACAGCCGAGTCACAGAAGTCTCCATTTTAATAGGAATGCTCTTGACCCAGCAATTCTACTTCTAGATCCATCCTAATAAGATATGCAAAAAAATCGATATACAAGAATAAAAGGACTAACTCTTATCTAGCCCTTACTCTTCTAAGCACTCAAGAGGAATCTGAGGAAGCTGGAGTGTTTGGGAGAAAATACATCGCAAAGAAAAAGTGTTCCAATTTTGGGTCTAACAGTTCTTTACAAATCAGTATTTCATAGACTTTTGGGTTCAAAGGTAAGTGCAAAGATGCGTACAAAAAGAAGCAGCATAGGGCAAATAGGGTTACCAGCTGCTGCTCCTTCTTTTCTTTTCTTTTTTTTTTTTTTTTTGAGGTGGAGTCTCGCTCTGTGGCCCGGGCTGGAGTGAGCGGCGCCATCTTGGCTCACTGCAAGCTCCGCCCCCCAGGTTCCCGCCATTCTCCTGCCTCCGCCTCCCAAGTAGCTGGGACTACAGGCGCTGCCACCACACCCGGCTAGTTTTTTTGTATTTTTAGTAGAGACGGGGTTTCACCGTGTTAGCCAGGATGGTCTGGATCTCCTGACCTCGTGATCCGCCCGTCTCGGCCTCCCAAAGTGCTGGGATTACAGGCTTGAGCCACTCGCCCGGCCAACTTCTTTTCTTAATGATCAAGTAAAGACATTGAGAAAACCAACCAACCAACAAAACCCAAACCAAACAAAAATCCTCCCGTCTATTATCACTATCGCTTTCTAAAACATCGGCCTTTTCTTTTTCTCTCTTCATTTGTTTGTTTGTTTGTTTGTTGTTTTTTGAGACGGGGCTCTGTCACCCAGGCTGGAGTGCAGTGACAAGATCACAATTCACTGCAGCCTCGACCTCCCAGGTTCAAGCAATCCTCCCACCTCAGCCTCCCAAGTAGCTCGGACTACAGGCATGTGCCACCATGCCCAGTTAATTTCGTTTTTTGTTTTTTTGTAGAGATAAGGTCTTGGTATTTTGCCCAGGCTGCTCCTGAACTCCTGGGCTCAAGCAATCTGCCTTCCTCAGTCTCCCAAAGTGCTGTGATTACAGGTGTGAGCCACTGTACCCGGCTAAGATAAGGCTTTTCACATTTAAAACATAGGGATAATATAAAACACTTTTCTGGTGTGTACCACGTGCCAGGCACTGTTCTAAGTGCTGTCCACATCGACTCACTTGTCCTCAAAACAACTTTAAGGCCATGGGTACTATTATTATTTCCTTTTACAAAGGAGGAAACTGAGGCACAGAGGTTCAGTGCTTCACTCAAGGTCACTGAGCAATAGGTGGCTATCTGGTGACTGAGCTGGGATTTGAGCCCAGGCTAGCAGGCTTCAGAGTCCCTGCCCTTAATCATGGAGGCTACAAAGGATAATCTTTTAAATGAAATACATTCATCGTTATATAAAACTTTTAAAAACATTTTCCAATTTGCCATAAACGTTTTAAATGTCTTAACGGACCAGTGTGTTTGGAGCATCACACTATTGATCACTATTCTAATCAATAAGATATAGGCTTTCCATTTTCTTTCCTTCCAGCAGAGATGTCTCCTTCCAAGGCCATGACACGTGAAGTCCAGGTGAGGCTGAGCACTGCTCACGTGTAGACATAAAATGACCCTAACAGCATCCAGACAGCACCTTCAACCTCTTCAGCAGGGACTCACACAGGCCCCTCTCCCCTTTCTAGTCCCACTCTATGTAGCCACTTTCTCCTCCAACTTGTACACGAGGCCTCATGGAACCTGCTTTTTCTCCCTGACGGAGCTTCAGCAGGTTCCGAGTCCTGCTGCTGATGGAGGCATCATCGAACCCCATCTTCACACTATGCACTGATGCGCGGCACCTCAACCTCCTCATCCTCTACCCACCCCACAGCGTCATCGTGAGAATGAATGATTTAATACGTGTGGAAATTAGGACAGAACAGCTCCTATTATTACTAGCATTGTTAGTATAATAGTCGTCGTAAAACAGTCTTTTAGGACCGTTACCCCCTCTATTTTTACTTATGTTTTACATAAGAGATGTGATTTCTTGGCTTGAGTATTTTACATTATACGTTTCTGGTTAGTTGTCTATTTAGCTAACTGTGATTCTTTGTTGGCTCACTATCCACAAAGAAGACATTCACAACACAAGAGTTCTCTAGGCTGGGCTTGGTGGCTCACACCTGTAATCCCAGCACTCTGGGAGGCCAAGGTGGATGGATCACCTGAGGTCAGGGTGTCAGAGACCAGCCCGGCCAGCATGGTGAAACTGTCTCTACTAAAAATACACAAAATTAGCTGGGCATAGGGGTGCATGCCTGTAATCCCATCTACTCAGGAGGCCGAGGCAGGAGAATTGCTTATACCTGGGAGGTGGAGGTTGCAGTGAGCCGAGATCGTGCCACTGCACTCCAGCCTGGGTGACAAGAGTCTCTTTTTGAGAAGAGAAACTCCTTCTCAAAAAAAAAAAAAAAAAAAAAAGAGTTCTTCTCTAACCCTAAATTCCATCCGAACTAAGATGGGTGGATAATCACCAGAAATCTCCACACATACAGTTGTGGTTATTCTATTTCTATACTTCACTATCGTGCAAAGCTCAAGTCCAGATCCTGCTTTCAGTGTAGGCTCTGTGGAAAATCCCATCTGCATGGGGACCTGGGGCTCCCAACTGTCATTTGTGTTAACATGGGGAGGCTGTGACGGCTGACTGTTGGTCAGCCCCGCATGCTGAGATAACCAAGCAAGGATGGTCATCTTCTACCTGAGCAGGGGACGCAAAGGAGACTCCCACCCACAGCACAGGGGATGGCCCCGGAGAGCGACGGGGCTGGCAGCTGAGGGGCCGCTCAGTGGTCTCCCCAAAGGGCAGGGCTTGCTCCCATGGCCTGAACTGTGCCACACTCCCTCTGTGTAACGGTGGGAGAATCGTGGACTTGGTGTCAGCCTTGGCAACACTGGGTGCTGTGCAATTCTGGCCTCTCAACACTTTTTAAGGGCCTACTTCCTCCTCTATGAGTCAGGATTCGTCAGTCCTACCTCACAGGCCGGATGCGAACATGGAATGAGGCCACGTAGGTCAAGGGCCTGATGCACTAGAGGTGTGAGGAGCGGGTGTTCCGCCTCCCCGCTGCCCACCTGGCATTCATGCTTTGGAGTGTGGCTGCTGCTCTTCGCGGCAGAAGGTACCTGCTAGTGGTCGTGTGAGTGTGTGCGTGTGTGTGTGTGCGCACGCGTGTGTGTGTGTGTGTGAGTGTGTGTGCCTGTGACAGAGATGGCTCATTCATAGATGCAGCCAAGTCCTGATGACATCCTTGCCTTTCTTTCTTTTTCTGCCCTGTTTCAGGGCTAGGAAGGAGGCCAGCAAGTAGCTTGACCTAGGGGACCAGATGCCCAGGTGCTGTATCCCTGACGGCTGTCTTTGAAGTCAGGTATCCTTCAAAATATGAGGTAAGCAAAGGATACATGCAAGTAGAAAGGTCATGCTGCCAGTAACAGAGATTACCAGGTGTGAGGAAAAACTCACCTGAAATTTATTAGTAGAGTTAAAAGGGATTTCAGCTACTTTGCGGTTTCTTTTTCTAATTTCCATCACATCACCCAAAATGACCTCTGAGAATTTTAAAAGAGCAGTTTCTGAGGCATCTCCAATCACAGCTTTCTGGGAATCAAAGAAGAAAAATATTTGCAGCACATATTTAATGAACCAACATGCCCTCAACGCAGGACCCAAAACACACCTCCTGATCCCATTACCATCTAGCTGGAGAGACATTATCACGTGATCAGGGAGGGCCACAGGACAGTGGTATGCGTGTAAACAATGGTGCCACCTACTGGCATTAGGGATGTTTGGAGAAGCTGGATCTCTGTGAGGACTGAAGATTTCGTGGAAACAAGCAGCTACGAACTAGATCTTGATAGACAGGTGGGTTACCAATACACAGAGAAGAAAGCCTTCTAGAAACCAGGACGCAGGTGCAGGGACGTGAGGTGCAGGCTCGTCTGTGAGCGTTCAAGCTACCATTGGATGTGGAGGGCGGGGAAAGACCTGGTGGGCCCTGAAGGGTAGCCTGAGGTCTAGACTTGAGAAGCAGAGCACAGGGAAGTACAGAAAGATTTTGAACAAAGTTAAGTGAATATAAAAAGCACCATTTAGGGAAAATTAGTGGCATTTGAGAAAGACTCCAGGAGGGATAAACTGGAATCAAGGAGGCTTAATTTCAATCAATTAAGAGGTTGATACAGCTATTTAGATGCAAGGTACTGCTGATAAAAGGTAAAATTACGTATATTTTGAAGCAAGAGTGATAGAACTTGGTGACTCATTGGATATAAGGAAAGGATAAAGTCAAAGATGACTTCCAAATGTTCTGGCCCAATGACAAATAGAATGGTTGTAGCATAGAAAATTAGAAAATTAGGGCAAGGCACTGATGTGCAGCTAGGCTGGGTACGGGTGGAAGTAAACGAGCATGATTTGTGCAGCTTCCTAGTGGAAGCACACAGCCAGCCAGAGATCCAGGTTGGAGCTGAGGTAAGAAATTAGAACTGGACATAAAGATTTGGAATGGCAGGGGGCGGTGGCTCAAACCTGTAATCCCAGCACTTTGGGAGGCCGAGACGGGCGAATCACAAGGTCAGGAGATCGAGACCATCCTGGCTAACACGGTGAAACCCCGTCTCTACTAAAAAATACAAAAAACTAGCCAGGCGAGGTGGCAGGCGCCTGTAGTCCCAGCTACTCGGGAGGCTGAGGCAGGAGAATGATGTAAACCTGGGAGGCGGAGCTTGCAGTGAGCTGAGATCCGGCCACTGCACTCCAGCCTGGGCCACAGAGCGAGACTCCATCTCAAAAAAAAAAAAAAAAAGATTTGGAAGATATTGACAAAGAAGCAATTGGCCAAAAAGAGCATTAATGAACTGCCTGACGGAGGGAAAAGCAAACAAACAGAAAGTAAGAAAGAAAAAGAGTCAAGGAAGGAAACAGATGGCAAATAGAAAAGCCAGGAGAACAGAGATTCAGTGACTCATCGAGACGGAGGGGAAAAGGGAGAAAGGGAAGGAGGAGAGGGCAGGAGGGGGAGAGTTTTTTGTATGTTCCGATATTCCAGGACCCCTAGAGCTTTGTCTGCAGCCATATTCTAGTTAACAGGAGTCCTTCTATTTTTATCCAATCACATTTTAAATTTCCATGAATGGCATGTATATTAAAAGGAACTTTGATTACATCCACTTAGCTGGCAGAAAAGTCAAGAAAGTAACTTAGAGGTGCATTCATTTCCAGAATTTTCTAAAGACCCTAAAGCAATATTCTGAAACCTTTTAAGCATCTTTGTATTCTCAAAGCTAGTGTGCATGAAGAAAACTTTCTGTATGTCTTGTAAGTCCAGCTTGCTCTTGCAAGCACTGGACAAACTTTATGCTACTGGAGAGATGAAATCAAGCACACAATCAGACCCCAGAAAGTGACTCCAAACTGGCTGTGATTTAAGACCGAGTGCTGCAGAAGCATTACCTTCATGATGGGGACATTTTCCTGTCCTGGCTTGAACTCGGCTCGGTTACACAATGTTATTATCTTGGATAAGGAGGCCCAAGTCCTAGAGCTTTGGTCAAAGACCTGGTCTGGAAGACAGAGAAAGAACAGTGGCTGCTGTGGGTTGCGCTGGCCGTCCCTGAGTCCAGCAATCCTCCGGCTACAGACCCTGCTGCGTGCTCAGCTCAGCCCCAGGACGGAGTCCGCAGCTCTGACCAGACCAAGCTCTCCATAGGACTTACTTGAATGGTTTTCACTGGTGTCAGCCACAAAAATCTGATTGTCGAACCACAGATGGGCCACTGTCATCCTGTTCTGGGTCAGTGTCCCGGTCTTGTCTGAGCAGATGATGGAGGTGGAGCCGAGGGTCTCCACAGCCTCCAGGTTCTTCACCAGGCAGTTCTTCTTGGCCATCCGTTTTGCTGTCAGCGACAGGGTCACCTAGCAGGAGAAGGAAGGAAGCTTTGGGAAAAATCCTCATGTGAACTCAGGTCCAATAAAACAGAAATAGCCAATGTCAGCTGTGATTGAATTTTAGGAGACAGCTGGACTAGTTTTAGGGGAGAGGTGTGGTTGCCGGCACAGCTAAACTGACCTGGTGGCTTACACGCCACCAAGAGCCAGTCCTCTATGCCACAATCCTTTTTTAAAGATTAAATACGAGACACTTTTCTTGTTCCTTCATGACTTGAAGAAAACAAGGGACCTACGGGCAGCAAATACAGACAATGCTGCTGTGGCTGGTGCCCACATACAGCCACGACACCACCTGTGGTCCCTAAGCAGGAGTGTGCTCCAGAGACTGGCTGGTGCATGTTGCCAGTTGTCCCAAAGGACACACTTATGGCTTTGGGGAATTCATCAGCTTTTGTGTTGAAACAACACAAAAAATGAGCTTTTCATTTTTAAAAGCTCCATATTTTAAAGATCCTTTTAAACCCCCAGATCTCAAAGGGTTCTTTTGGCTCCCATTTCCCCAAATTACTATCTCCTGGAGTCAGAAGAGACCTGGACTTCAAAAACTTCTCTTTTCTTTGGTCAGGACAACAGCAGGCCAATGATCATGTAGTCACAAAACCGGAAACATGAATCCCCTCCTCTCCTACCCCGTGGGACCCCCATGGCAGAGACTGAGGAGGAGGGGCTCTTGTCTCGGGACTGAATGACATAGGCCATACACGAAGAGCCAGAGCTGGGTCTAGGGGTTGGCCAGGAAAGGGCTGGAGTCCTCGGCAGGAAAAATGAGAGGAATTTTTTTTTTCCTAAGAGAGGTCAGTGGAGTATGGCAACGTGCCTAAATGCCTAAGTTGTAGAAACTGCCAAAGAAACGTGGGGAAGGCATCAGGCTTCCAGAAAATCTGTGAATGGTGGAGCCTGTCTTATCCAGATCTTAAGGGGCAGAGTAAGCTACGTGAACTGCAGATTGAAAGCATAACGTTTTCATGGAAAACACAGTCAAATATTAAAAATACAGCCTTTTTTTTTTACAAAACTGTTTCTTTCTCCGTAAGAAACAGTCTATTCAGAATGTTCCATGGTTGTCCCTGGCGGGGAGGGCATGGTGCTCTGGACTTGGGGGAGATTGCAGTTTGTGTGGGCGACTCCCCAGTACCAACGCTATGTCCACAGGGCCGGGTGCAGGCCGTCTAACAGCATGGACTCACAGTGACCGTGGCCAGGAGGCCCTCGGGCACATTGGCCACAATGATGCCAATGAGGAAGATGATGGAATCCAGGACTCGATAATTCATGGACACTGCGATGATGAAGAAAAGGATGCCGATGGAGACAGCCACTCCTGCCACAATGTGAACGAAGTGCTCGATCTCAATGGCGATGGGCGTCTTCTCATTTCCAACTCCTGAGGCCAAAGAGGCGATATGGCCAATGATGGTGCGGTCACCCGTGTTGATGACCATGCCGGTGATGGTGCCTACGGGGCAAGTAGACGTTTTATTCCAGGGGTCCTCAGCTAGAAGGGGTGTGCAGCCAGCTTGCAGCCCTCTCTGGCGGCTGGCACAGTCAATAGGCACAGCACATTCCACAGGCCACGCATCATCCTCTAGGCCCTTCAGTTCCACGCTTCCTCTGGGATGAGCTTTGTAACAGGGTGTGGCAAAGGACAGATCTGAGAGCCCAGGAGGGAGAAGGGACACAGGTGGCCATGTGGGCTGAGAGCCAGAGGCCTTTTACCTTCCAGACACGTTGTGGAATAGAAGCAGATGTTCTTCGTTTCCAGGGGGTTTTCATGGGTAAACTCAGAGCAGCGGGGCTGGGGCTCAGATTCCCCCGTGAGAGACGAGTTATCCACCTAGAAGAAACGTTGAGAATGGTTCACAGCTGGGTACCTCATTCCCCGCCTCTTATACTGATGCTGGGAAAGACCACAGAGCCAGCGGGTTTGGAACATGGTCCTTGGGGGGGGTGCCCCCTGCTGCTTACCCGGCACCCCTGAGAAGACAGCACCCTGATGTCTGCGGGGATCTGGTCTCCTCCTTTGACCTCCACAATGTCCCCCACCACCAGCTGCTCTGAAGGGATGGTCTTCTTCTCGGAATCGCGGATGACCAGAGCTTGCTACAGAAGAAAACCATGAGAGACGCCTCAGACCCTGGAGGGACACCGGCCCTCCTCCCCATCTGTGCCGCACCAAACCCCAGGACAGAGGCCTTGGAACTTCCTGGTCACTGTCACTGTTGAGTCCGTGCTGTTAGGCAGCCTGCACCTGGCCCTGTGGACACAGCATTCGGCTGGAGCCTGAGGCTGTCAGAATAGCAAGAATGAAACAGAAGACTGCTTCACCCGAGGCCTGGAGACTCTAAGAACTACTTTTCCTTGAGCTCACGGAGATTTCCTTGGAACAGAAGAGTCACTGTTGGCCAGATCTGGCCAAGCCAGAGTCCTGGGCCTCCTAGAAAAGGAGACCGTTAAGGGTGAGCCATCCTGGCTGGGCGTCGGGGCAGAGCACTGAGGGTGGGACTGGAGAGGCTGATAATCTTGCGAGGGTCAGGGAAACTTGAACGAGGTGATCTTCTGCTTCAAGCTTGGCAAGAGGCATCTTTTCCACCCAGAATCTCTCCTCCAGCCTGCAGTTCTCTGGGCCAGAGACAGTGCGGACACCTGACAGGGGTCTTTGGGGAAGAGGGGAGCACTGGGCTTCCCCACCGATTGCATTCTGGGGCTCAGTAGCAAACATGTGACCCAAACATGGTCACAGATAAACAACTGCAGGCTGGTCTCCTTGGCTGCCCGTGAAGGAACACTCCCGGACCTTCCGCAGGTCCCTTCCGGAACCCAGAACCACTGTCCACAAACACCGAGGAGCAGGAACAGAAGATGCCATGCGCTGACCAGCACTGCCCTGGGTGGTACCTCATTTGACCACCAGAACCCTGTGAGGAACTGGGGTTCCGACAGATGGCTTAATTCACCCACGATGGCTCCGACACGGACAAAAGTGGGAACACTTGGCCCGCAGCACCCTGTGCCCCTCTCAGCTGAGGCTTCCTCACCCGGGAGTCACCAGAGGCCAGAGGACGGGTGGCTGCCACTCACCTGAGGGATCATCTTTTTGAAGCTGGACATGATGTTGGTGCTTTTTGCCTCTTGGTAATAAGCAAAGATCCCCGTGAAAATGACCACCAGGACAAGCACAGAGCCCAAGTACACCTGGGTGAGGAGGAGGGCGTCAGTCAAAGAAACTGGCAGTGGGAAGGAGACAGGCCCTGGGGCTAGAGCTCTCCATGGGCGGGTGCCACGCTGGCGGTTATGCCCTGGTGTAGTTTACAGGCCACAGAATTCGCCCATGTTAAGTGCACAGCTTACTGATTTTTTAAGTTTACAGAGCCATGCAGCCACCCTCCACCGCAGCCTCAGACATCTCCACCCTGCCTGGAGATCCGCCCGGCCCCTCTGCTGTCACTCCCTGCTCCTGTCCCATGCCCTGGCATCACCAATCTGGTTCCTGCTTCCAAGGATGTGCCTGTTCTGCACATTTCGTGTCAATCCAACCCCATGACACGTGGCCCGTTGCCTCTGACTTCTGTCTCTTGGCATCACGTTGGCCAATTCAGTTTTGTGGATTTGGTACCCACGTCTCGGCAGGCACAGTCGCTCTCCGTGTTAAAGGGAGAGGTTAGCCTGGGGGAGACACACCCCCAAACTACTTCACATGGATGCAGATTTTCTCCCCCTTAAAAATTCAAGGTGTTTTGTGTATCCCTCTTCACTTCCACACTGCCTCTGGAGCATCAGAAAGCCAGATCGAATTTCTGTTTTCCAGCTGGGAAAATGCCTGACTTCCCCACACCTAAGCAGTGGCATCCAGCCCTCAGCTGTGCCTCCGAGGCCGCACTGGATGGCTCTGCCAGCAAAACCAGGAGGGGCCACCCCAGAGCCTTACGTTGTTCAGGGATGCAGACTTGTTGCTGGAGTACTCAATCCCAAATGCAATCCAACAGAGAAAGGCGCCCACCCACAGGAGGACAGAGAACCCCCCCACCATCTGCTTGAGGAACTTGACGATCTCAGGCGTCTGCTTGGGAGGGGTGAGGGAGTTGGGCCCATCCCGGGCCAGGAGCTCGGCGGCTCTGGTGCTGGAGAGACCCTGGGAAAGCCAAACAAAGCACATGCACAACCAAAACAAACACGAATTAGACCGTCCTCCTCCCTCAGGGGTTGGGCTGCATAGTTGTGCGGCTTGGGGTGAGGCATTAACGTGCCCAAAGAAGGTCTTGAGAAAAGCGGACCGTGCCTCACCTCTCCAGCTGCCCAGCTTTTTCTGAAAGACTGTAATGCTTCATAGCCAGGTACTGTGCTCTGTAAATTCACTCATTTAGTCTTTAAAATGACCCTTGAGGCAGGAGCCATTATTCCTCGGTCTCCTCATTCGCAGAGGTGGAATTGGAGGCACAGAAAAATTATGTAACCTGCCCGAGGAACCTGGCCCGTCAATCAATGGTAGCGACCGGTTTCAACGTGGTGACTGGGTCCAGAGCTACCGCACTCTGCTCTGCTAAGGGGTTTTAGTTTCTTAGAGGTTTATCCAGCGAGAGGAGTAATTTGATGAAGGAGGACTTGGAATGAAGAAGCTGGTCACCAGGGCTAAGAGCAATGCAGTAACTCCCCAAGAAATAGGGAAACTTCTGGAACCCTGCATAGACAGCATGTGGCTTTAGTTTCCATCCTTACGCCTCCTCCTTTTCTATCTTTCTACACATCCAGCCTAAATTCTCATTCATCTTGACAGGCATAAATCCCACCCAAGCCCTGAGCCCATGTGAGCAGCCCCTGCCCTGGGGGACCTGCCATCCATGAGGCACCCTCACCTTTGAAACCCTGCATGTTCACAGGAATTTCCCCCACAAACGATCTTTGTGGACAAGTCTGTAGACACCTCTTCTCCCTAATTATGTTGTAAGCTACTTAAAGGCCAGGACTCTGTCTTCCTTTTTTTTTTGAGATGGAGTCTCACTCTGTTGCCCAGGCTGGAGAGCAATGGTGCGATCTCGGCTCACTGCAACCTCCTCCTTCTGGGTTCAAGCAATTCTCCTGCCTCAGCCTCCCAAACAGCTGGGATTGCAGGTGCCCGCCACCACACTTGGATAACATTAAAAATATTTTTAGTAGAGACAGTGTTTCACCATGTTGGCCAGGCTGGTTTCAAACTCCTGACCTCAGGTGATCTGCCCACCTTGGCCTCCCAAAGTGCTATGATTACAGTCCTGAGCCACCATGACCGGCCGGTCTTGGTCATTTCTGTGTCTCTCTTGCGTCTCTTGCTTTTTCTGTGGTAGTGATTCAAATATCTGTTGAATGGCTTGATTCCCGTCTCCCTTCACCAGCAATTCCTTTTCTGGAACCCCAGACTCATCTTTCTGAATAACTGCAGAACATTCCTCAGGGGTGTTCCGGAAAGACTTCTTATGGTATAACTCACAATACGCTCATCATCGGCTCCTCCCTCCTGCCTTCCCTGCTCTCACCTCCTGGCCCCCACCCCAGCCCATCCTGACCAGCTCTCCTCCTCCTGCTGCTGTGACGTGGCTAGTGAGATGAGGGGCTCAATAAAAATCCCCGCAAGTCCTGCTGGTTGTGTTTGTCTGCAATATCTTTCTTTTTCTTTTTTTTTTTTTTTGAGATGGAGTTTCACTCTTATTGCCCAGGCTGGAGTGCAGTGGCGTGATCTCCGCTCACCACAACCTCACAACCTCCGTCTCCTGGGTTCAAGTGATTCTCCTGCCTCACCCTCCCGAGTAGCTGAGATTACAGGCATGTGCCACCATGCCCTGCTAATTTTTTGTATTTTTAGTAGAAACGGGATTTCACTATGTTGGTCAGGCTGGTCTCAAAATTCCTGACCTCAGGTGATCTGCCTACCTCAGTCTCCCAAAGTGCTGGGATTACAGGCGTGAGCCACCGCGCCCAGCCCCTGCAATGTCTTTCATCATTGTTTCAGAACCTCGTTTCACAGTCCTGGGCTGTTGTTCCATTCTTCTAGACCTTTCCATTTCTCACTTTAAAAAAATGATCTTCTACCAGAGCTGCCTTTTGAAAACCAATGAAATCACCTCCTTGTGTAGAAACCATGTCCCTTCTGCCTCTACGACAGCCCCTGCTTGTTAGTTTAATGTGAATACTTTGACAGCTTCACCCAGATGACCTTCCTGGCTTCATTCTTGCTGCACCTGTCCCCTCTCCACACATACTAGCTTCCAGCAAGCCCAGACTGTCTCCAATCCGGCTCTGTGCTTACTGGCCCCGGGGTCCTCCACCAGCTTAAATCCAAATCGTCTTGAGTTCCAGCGCAAACACAGCAGCAGCCCAAGAGCCAGCTCTGGCCCCTTCAGTCAGAATCCACCTTTCTCCCAGCATAGCATTTCTACTTCTTGTGGCCATCCCAGCGGGACAGAGTGAATCTCAGGACACTTCCGTACACATTTGCCTCCCCCACCTGGCCACTTTCTCCTTGAGCCCAGGAGTCATCTGTCCCTCTTGGTCCCTCTCACTGCCAGGCCAGTGTGAGCCCCACAGTAGGTATTTCTGTTGACTTCAACAGTGTCCAGATGCAAATAACTGCAGTCTCAAAGGTGCTGCAGGGGCGCCTCCTCCTCAAGTTGCCGCTACTCTTCCACACACCCCCCACCACACACACAGCCTTCCCTCTGTAGAGTCAGGAGGCTTCTATTCTGAATCCCTGGTTCCCACGACTCACCGTAATGATGTCTGTGCCATATTTCTTTTCCAATTCCCTATTGCTGAGTTTGTGGTCATCCTAAAGTCCATGAAAGGAAGAACAGAGTGAATAAGATAATTCCAAAAGACTCAAGTCCCAAGCTTTGAGCAGCCATGGAAGCTGGGAATAGCAGCTCTGAGGATGGGAGGGGACCAAGGAGTGTGGGGGACAGGAGAAAAAGAACTCCTGTGCTAGGCAGCTGTCCAGCGAAGGATGGCACTGCCTCAGGAGTGATTGTCCCTGAGTCGGCACAATCCTGCACTTGCTGTTACTATCCAGAAGCTGCCTGCGGCTTTTCTGAACAAAGCCATGCACCTCGCTTCAGTCTGAACTCTGGCGCATACACGTCCTGGCACCCTCATCTTCCAGGTGCCAATGAGCTGGAGGCTTCCCTCAGACCTGAACCCTGGGATTGGCTGGGGCTGCTGGCAAAACCACGCTAGACCCCGCTTCATGGGCTGGCACAACTCCTCCCCCTTCGCTGTGTGGGCTCTGGCAGGGAAAAGCAGCTTCCCTCACTCAAGCTGTGACGCTCAGGGAGCTCACTGGGCAGAGCAACCCTGCAAGTAAAGGTTCTGCTGAATAAACCCAGACCATTGTGGCTGCCACTTGTGAATTCTGCTACAGAATCATTAGACTACAGCGGGGTTTCTCACCCGTGACCCTGCTGCCATTCTGGGCGAATAATTCTTTGTTGTGGGCTCCACCCACTAACATCCTCCCCTCAGTTGCGGTAACCAAAAATGTTTCCATTTTTCCCCTGGGAGAGGGGTGGGGGAATCCTCTTCTCCTCTCCCTTTGAGAACCACTGGGCTAAAGGACAAGAAGCCTCTTCCTGTAGCAGAAAACCTAGGGTGAGTCTTCCTGGCTCCCCCTACAAAGCCCAGCACTCAGGACTCTTTAAACCCCCATTGTGTGAAACAAAGATTGATACTGTTGACTGGTACTCACTTCATCTCTTTTCTTACGCGTATGCAAAAAATAGTTCCATGTTGCAGTAAGAGACTAGGCCTTCCAATAAAACAGAATTCATTATTATCACTATTATCTTGGTTCTAGCCCTCTTCTCAGCCAGATTCTGCTTTGTTCCTTCATCCCTTCCACTAATATCGACTGAGTGTGACATTGCGGGGGATTCAGAAGATTAAGGCTGTGTTCTGCACAGAGCACAGCACAACACGCTAAGTTTTGGGCAGATACAAGTAGTGGATGATCCAAGCTATTGTCCTCATGCATGGACCTCAGACTTTAAGGTCCCTGCAGATAGCAGAGGATCTTTCTTGTCCCTTCACCCTGGGCATGGGGATGAGGGCATGGGGGAGGGATGGGGTTAGGTGGTGGTGTGTGTCTGGGGTGCCCTCTACTGGCCAGCACTGAACTAGCACAGGGCAGCACCCCACCCACCTCTAGGGTCATTACCTGGCCCTTTATTCAAAGGCCAGGATACGTCAGGTGTCATTAGGCACTAATTTGCCAAGAAAGGTTGGGAGGCAAAAGCATTCAATATGTTGCTGAAATTACAGGACCCTTGTAATGTCAAGGGAAAAATAGGTATGTCTTCAATCTTAAACGCTAGAGACAATGGGAAATAATAAGAACTATCTATCGTCTGGTGCTGTGCTGTCTTTTCCCCGTTTTATCTCATTTAATCCTCCTAGTAACCCTAAAAGGTAGAAAAAAAAATTCTTGTATTTTTCGAAATAGAAAACTGAACATCAGTTACACTGGGATTTGAATTGAGGTCCGTCCAATTTCAGGGATCTGTTCTTAAATGTCTATCATGATAGATACCGACAAATGCCCAGTCGTGTGCTGTAAAATGTTTAACAAACTCTCCAGGAAAGATAAATACAAAGCTCGGATTTGTAGAGTTTGCTGATTTCTCACTAGAACCAAATTTCAAGCTGCTAACAGGATGTCAGTCAGCCTGCTGAATTTCTGAATACTTAACAAATGGCTCTCTAGCACAAAAGAGCAGTCACAGAGCTTTAATCAGATCTGCCAAGGACAGTGGGGACAATCCAGCACATCTCAAGCTCAGTGTAGAAGTTTCCCCTTCTGTGATACCGATAAAATCTGTCACATTTCAGACCCAAGGCAGTTTTATTACTAAAGTGGCCAGTTTGGGCCAGACACAGTGACTCACACCTGTAATCCCAGCACTTTGGGAGGCCCAGGCAGGTGGATCATCTGAGGTCAGGAGTTCGAGACCAGCCTGGCCAACATGGCGAAACTCTGTTTTTACTAAAAATAACAAAAATTAGCTGGGTGTGATGGCGCCTGTAATCCCAGTGACTCGGGAGGCTGAGGCAGGAGAATCGCTTGAACCCAGGAGGCGGAGTGTGCAGCTGAGATAGCACCATCGCACTCCAGCCTGGGCAACAAGAGCAAAACTCTGTCCCAAAAAAAAAAAAGCCAGTTTTAATAACTCCAGAGCACTTCCTTAATAATAAGAATATTGCACACCCCTAAAGCACCTGAATTGCAATGTCCTCATCTCATTGATTCCCCTCATAGACCCAGCAAATTATTTATTTCCCATTTTACACAGAGCAAATGGACCTTCAGTGAGGGTCAGTCATTTGTTGCCAGTTTCAGCTCAGTGGAGACGTGGGACTCTGATGGGGCCTGAGGTCCTCCCAATCCAAGCTCCACATTTTTACCACTGAAACTGCTTTTCCCTGCGGTTTCACACCTGCAGTCTGCATGGCCTAGGGGCTTCGGTTTTCCTCCACAGAAGTTCCAGCTCAAATAGTTTTACTAATCAGTTGAAAACTGGTAAGTGGTTACTTACTTCTCACTGAAGCAGCTGTGGGGAGAGAGGTCTGGCCTTGCCTGTGGGGCCTGGAATCAGAGGCTCCTCCTTCTGAGTTCTACAGGGACTGCCTCCAACCAGAATGCAGGAATCCTGCAGAGGTCCTGACCTCTGGGCAGATACTATCACACCATTCAAAACACACACACAACACACATACACCACATACACCACACGCACACCACACACATACACACACCACACACACACCACACACATACACACACCACACACACCACACACATACACACACCACACACACACACCACACACACACCACACACATACACACACCACACACACCACACACATACACACACCACACACACCACACGTACACACCACACACTAGACACACACCGCACATACCACGCACATACACCACATACCACACACATACACATACACACACCACACGTACACACCACACACACCACACGTACACACCACACACACCACACGTACACACCACACACTAGACACACACCACACATACCACGCACATACACCACACATACCACACATATACACATACACACACCACACACACCACATATACCACACACAGAGACACCAAACACACACACAGACACACCACACACATACACACACCACACATACACACCACACACTACACACACACCACACATACGCACATACACCACACATACCACACACATACATACCACACACATACACACACCACACACACACCACATATACCACACACATACACCAAACACACACACCCCACACACAGCACACACATACGCACAGCACATACCACACACATACACACACCACACACACACATCCCATACACACATCATACACAAGGAAACCAATCTCAAGGGGATTTCAAATCCCTCAGACTGAATGTGGTAAGAGGTGGGTTCTAGGGCCAAGCTCTTGCGGGGAAAGGCCATAGCCGGCAGGACCCCTGTGGCTGAAGGCTACTGACCAGATGGAGTTCTTTCTGAAACTCCTCTTCGTGATTTTTCTTTCTGCGTTCCAGGCAGTTGTTCTTCAGACCCCTGTACTTCTCCTTGCCATGCCCCTTGTCTGTTTTCACGATGTCCTTAGTTCCGCTGAGCTCCACGGAGTAAATTTCTGGGGTTTGCTGAAAGAGAAGCGCAGGTGCAATATCAATATTGGCCCCAAATGGGGTTTCCGAAGAGGCGCTGAGCGCCCCTCTGCGGGGTCGGGACCTGCAGGAGTCAGGAGCCCCTTCTCCCTTTCCTTCCCTCCTCTGGGGAGGCCGGAGGGAGTCGGACAGTGGAGTCTCTCCCCCACCTCCCGCTGACCTTGGCTTCCCCTCCGCCCGTGTAGAGGGGAGGCGGGGTGGGCACAGGCCAGCCAGCAGCTCCTCGGGGTGACCCTTCTCTGGGTGGAACAGGTGGGAAGTTACCCCCCAACTCCTGACTGATACCTCCAAGGAGCGGCGAGGTTTCCTCTGAGGTGTCCTTCCCAGAGGACACACCAGCTGTGCGTCCTGTTTCCTGGGGAGGGGGCACCCACCAAGCTTACGACCCTCAGTCCTGATCGGGGGGCCCTAACCGGAGGGCATCCCTGTCACCCCATCTCCCCGAGTCGGAGCCCGCAGGTGCTACGGAGCTGGCCCAGGACCCCTCGGCCCCTCCTCGCACCTCTGGACCGGCTTCTGTCCCCGGCCAGCCCCAGCGGCCGCAGGGAGAAGCGGTGCCCAGGCCGGGGGGGCGCGCAAAGGAAAGGCGGCCTCCCCTTTCCCCCGGACGGGGCGTTACTTCTTTTCGCCTTTTCCTCGCTTCCCGCCAGCCTGCTCCGGTCCCCGGGGGCCTTGGCGTCTCGCGTCCTCGGCAGGCGCGGGGGCTGCACGCACCTGGGACATGCTGGGCTGCGGGCGCGGAGCGCGGATCCCGGACCGCAGCGGCGGAGCGCAGGGTGTGGGGCCTCGTGCGGCACCGGCAGCGGCGGTGGCTGAGGTGCTGGCGGCGGAGATACCGGAGGCGGCGCGGGCCCTGCGCGCACCTCCGCGGCCGATCTCCAGCCGCTGCGCTCCGGAGGCTGCACCTGCCTTAAATGCCGCCCGCCCCGCCCACGTCCCCGCCGGGGCGCAAACCGGCGGACGCCTCGGAGGGCAGGACACCCGCCGGCGCGCGCAGGGAGCGAGACCCGTAGCGAGGGGTCCGGAGAGTCCGAGGTCGAAGACTCCCTGGGAATCCCCTTCCCTTTAGGAGCCGGACGCCGGGGCGCGGGGTCTCCGGGGGCGGGTCCGGGGTCCGGCGTCCCGGTGAGTGCGGCCCCGGTGCCGGCTGCGCGCCCAGAGCCAGACCCGCTGCTCCGGCGAGCTCCCGGCGCGCCCACGTCCTGTCCAAGCTTCCCCGAAGACCCACACACGCCTTTTTTTTTTTTTTTAATGTAATTTGCCTACCAATAAGTCAATTTATTAAAATGTATACCCAGAGAAGGGGAAATTGCAGTTTTTAACAGCGGCTACTGTTGGAGATGTCGGGGCTTGAAAAGGCCAGTGTGTTTCTGAGAGTGGATTGAGATAGGTAAATTCAAGCTTCCGAGCGAATACGGTAATAACTGAGAGACTCTGAAGACTAGCTGAATTACTTTGCAGGATCCAGATAAGAATTTGGAATTCTGAAATAATTTGGAGAGGGAGTGGGAAGGAGAGATGGGAGGATTAGGGTCGCTGAGACCACAGGAACCTGGAGCCCCAGGCTGCGGGTGCGCAGGAGCGGAGGCTGTTGGCTGGACTGGGCTGGAGTGTCTGTCTCCAGCCATTTATGTCACTCCCAGCTGAGACTCCATACATAAAGCAGAAAAGAATTTCTGACCCTGAAAACTGATGTGCATGCTAAAGTAGTGATTGTTTTATACTGCTAAGTTTGGGTTGGTTTGTTATGCAGCAATAGATAACTGGGACATGCTCCATGCTCTTAGTGCCCAGCATGAGTTTTTGCACAGGATAGAAAATGTATTTCCCCCTGACACTTGAAACGTAATTACTCCAGATGAGAAAGATAGCCTGAAAACCATATTATCAGAGAGTTATTTAACAGTTAACAGTGGAGGAAATCAAACACCTTCTTTTAAAAGAATGAATCGTGAAGTCTTAAAGTCAGTGAAGAAAATTAATGGAGAGGAACATAAAAATAAAACCCACGAATAGAGTTTAGTAATCAGCACCTATTTAGAAGAACAATAAGAAATTGACATGATTTAAATATATAAAAGAAAGTAGAGATAAATTTCCAGAGGGGGCACTTCATTGGGCCCTTGATGCTCGGCTAATAAGTTTCCATTTAGATAAGGACTAACAGGAGGGTGCTAAGTTTTATTCTTTTCAAAAGTTATATATCAAATATGGTAAAGATTGTCATTTTAACCACGTTTAAAATGATTAAGAGTGAGGAGTCCAGAGAAGTGGCAAAAGTAACAATCCCATCATGCAGTGACTAGAACACCTGGCAGAAAACAAGAAGAGCATTGGGTACATTTAGAAAAGGTAGAAGAAAAGCAGTAAGTTTGTGCCCAGTTGTAATTAGGGGTTAATCATAACCTCCTGTTTCTTTCAGATGCTACATTTCCGTAGTAATTCCAGATCTTGACTATAGTTAGTAGTGAGGGACAATTGGGAAAAGAAGCTTATTTTGAGGGAATTTGAAGTGTTAGTAGTTAGAGATGTGGTTTTGTAAAGTAGCAGTCGAAACAAAGATACTTTCTCATGGCATATTTGTGATCTTAGATTTTCCACACCTCTCTGTCCATCATGGCTTCCGAATGAGACTAAGGGAATGTGTTGTACTCGACATAGTGAACTGTCTCCACAGTGCTGCACACACAGGTCTTTCCCCCTTCTCCCTCCTTCTTCCTTTCCGAAAGGGCAGAATCTGAAGCCTGGGCTCCTCCCTCTGTGAAGCAAGGATGACACCAGCGAGTCACTTCTTAACTAAAATGATAAGGGACAGGAAGACTCCTAGTGGCATCTGGTGTAGAGATGCACATCATGGATTCTCTTGAGGTAGAGGGAACATTAAATTCTAGTCCAAACTCAAGCCACAGTGTGCTTCTGGGAAGCTCTGTGCTCCATTCTTGGAATACTCTGCAAAGGAAAGGTTTGCAGACGGGGTGAGAAATACAAAATGTGTATGAAACTGATGTTCCACTGTCTGCTGAGAATCCAAGCTAAAGGCCTTTTGGGAACAGGTGGCTGCTGCTCACCTTAAGCTGTTTCACTGCTTGCTCCAACTATTGGGACAGATGTCGAAAAGAGAAGCAGGGTCCCCAGAGAGATGTCTCTGAGCTGAAGGCCACTTCAAGCTTCAAAAGCACACTCAGATCCTAGGGACTTGACTGAGGGATGGGGAGGGAGGGGAAGTGGGCTAAAAAGAGATAATGACACAGCTTTAGAAAGTACGAACTGATGGCATCCTCCCTTGATCCTTGGAGAAGATTGCTGCTTTTTTTTTTTTTCTTAAGAATGTCTTGCTCTGTTGCCCAGAATGGAGTGCAGTGTGATTACAGCTCACTGCAACTTCCGCCTCCTGGGCTCAAGTCATTCTCCCACCTCAGCCTCCTGAGTAGCTGGGACTACAGGCATGGCTAATTTTTGTGTTTTTTTTTTTTTTTTTGGTAGAGAAGGGGTTTCACCATGTTTTCCAGGCTGGCCTCCAACTCCTGGGCTCAAGCAATCTGCTCACCTCTGCCCCCAAAATGCTGGGATTACAGGTGTGAGCCACTGAGCCCAAGATTGCTGCTTATTTCTGTTGGTATCAAGAGTGTGTGTTACTACCAGCCTGGACAAAAACATTTCCGTGGTCAGGTTCTCTGGCACCTCTCTGATCCTGCAGAGTTATTGGCTCCTGCCAGGGGCCAGTCTCAGCTGTCGCTGCTGTGGCCTTTGTGGCAGCCTCTGGTACCGTTCAAATGTCCTGGAGTGTTGACTTCTATCAAAGAGGGAAAATGGGGCCATCCCCAGCCCTAACTCCAGAATCGTGTCCTTTGCTGCCTCTAGTCATCTGGATACCCAACTCTGCCTCGAGGTGAGTGGGCCCTGGATAACTGCGATGCAGGCACCTGGAGGCACTCGCCTGTAGAACCAGGAACTGGATTTCTCCTGAGACATGTTTGGTCCCAGGGCCATCACCCACAATGTTCTGGGCAATGTACCCTGATCCCAGCCAGTGCAAATGGCTCCTCGAGGGTTGGCCATAGAGGCCAGGCTGCTGCTGGGAGACTTCCTCAGCCCACGTGTGCTAGTAGCAGCTTCTGCTTGAGATTTTCCTGCTTTTCAAAACAAGCCTGTCCACGCCAACGTTCTCTATTACACCTGCTCATATTGATAAACATTATATATTTGGGATAGGATGTCATTATAGATGTCTTCTCAGCTCGTTTTAATTAAATTATATACTCCATGTATTTAAGCCATACTAGATATAGGGGATGGTGGGGAGATATGGTACTAAAATCATGCCATCCTCTGCCCTCTAGGAAGTTGGACTTGAGTTGGAGAGACCAAATTAGTGAAGAACCAATAGTAAATGGGCCAAGAGGGAAAATAATTTAGCACTAACTGGTATGGGCTCTAAGTGCCTTCAGAGTTTGGAGGAAAGAGGTTTCTCTGGGAGAAATGGCATAACGTGTACTACTTAGGATTAGTTATTCAGATTTTCTTCTATCCCTTTGCACCCTCCAAGAAAGTGGGGAGAGAGTCTGGGAGAGCAACTGAGTTGGGGCCTTGTGTGTGTGGCTTCCCCTGGGGGCCCCAGGAGGTCCCTCCTGTGCGCAGGGCCGGCCACCAGCTGGCTCACAAGGTGTGACTGTGAGGATCCCCACACAGAGGAGGAGGATCCAGATGACAATGGGAAGAGGAAGTTCCACTTCCTGCTTTGCATCCGACTGGCCTGTGCCTCTGCTGCCCACCCGGCCTCTCCCTGTCCCTGGATTCCTCTCCTACACATGGGACAGTCCCCACCTGGAGCCCTCCCTACGCACCTGTCTCCACTCAGCACGCCTGGCTGTGACTCGGCCAGTGTTCCTCTCCTGACGAGATGAGGGCCGCCTGGGGCTGGAGCCAGGATAAAAAAACAAAACGAAGCTTCAGACAAGCACATTTCCACACTGTGTCCTCATTTCTTCATGCACAGGAAATCCGGAGATTGGCATGTGAACATCCTCCAGAAAAGAAAGACTTTTCAGAAATTAGCAAGTCAGCTCCGGCGACGATCCTGCCTGGAGCTGTAAACACCATGACTGATGGGAGTCAGCAGTGGCATTTCCAGAGGCAGGTGCGGGCCTGTGAGGGGCTCAGACAGGCACGCCTTCTCCGCCCGTGGGTACAGCTGCCCCGAATGTCACGATGGCTGGGGTACTTGAGGTTACCACAGTGTTCATTCTCTGTGACTTACGTTGGCGAATAAGATGCTTTTTATTGTATTTAAAGGATACAACATGATGTTCTGATATACTTATGCCAGTGAGATAGTTATGATTATCAAGCAAATTCACATATCCATCCCCTCCTACAGTTATCCTCTGTGTGTGTGTGTGTGTGTGTGTGTGTGTGTGTGTGTCCCCGTGTGATGGGAGCATCGGAAATCTACTCTATGAGCACATTTCCTGGATCTAATACAATGTTGCCACTACAGGGCTCACGCTGGGCCTCGGACCTCTACACTTTCTCACCCCACATATCTGCGGCTTTGGGTCCTTTGCCCTGCCTCTCTCTATTTCCCCAAGTCCCCCATAATGAGATGCTTTTTCAGAAAATTACCATTTTCCATTTAATAGGTGATTGAAAAACAAACTTCATTCGGAGTTTTTTGATTTTTGGTTTTCAGTATTAGAATGAAAACAGGTTTCCCCCCATGTGAATCATCCCCACTTTTATCTTAGAAAGTTGTAACACCTATAAGGCCAGGCGCTCTGGCTCACACCTGTAATCCCAGCACTTTGGGAGGCAGAGGCAGGTGGATCACAAGGGCAAGAGATAGGGACAATCCTGGCCAACATTGTGAAACCCCGTCTCTACTAAAAATACAAAAATTAGCCAGGCGTGGTG